GCAATCCTCTCTTTATTCTTTCAAAAAGTCTGGCTTCAGAGGGCTGGTCTTTCATCTTATTGCTCAATGCCTTAATTCGCGTATAATAAGCAACAAATTTCTCATTTTTTCGTTGATTATGACGTCCATCATTAAAATCGGCTTCGATTTCAACATCATTTTTTCCTCTATTAAGATAATTTTGCATTTTAACGATATAGTCTTCCCAATTATCTATGCTTGATCCAAATATTTTGTGCCATTTTAGTGCTTCGCCTTCTAAAAGACATTCAATGTTGGTCAGTATCTTCTGAGCCGTTATGTCTTCGTTGATTCTCATCATCCAACTTTCTACATATTGCTTAAAATGTCCTTGATGGCCATCAAATTTATTTGGCCAACTCTTGATCGTGTTAACAATCTTTAATTCTGTATCATCAAATTTCCTATAGTTATCTCGGTTATTTCGATAATTATTTCGAGGTGCTACAAATACTCTCCTTCCATAATTAAATACCGGTTGCTCTTGAGCAATTTCGTTTTCTTCGTCATCATCGTCTAGTTCCATTCGTTGATCTCGAGCATTGTTATTTGCTTGTTGTGGTTGTTGACGAAATTCGTCATTTTGTGCGTTATTATGATTATTAAAAGCAATACTTGGGACGAAATTATGTCCATTAGCATTAGACGGTGTACAATTATATTGTTGAGAAGAAGTTGCAAAATTATTCGGATTATTATTGAATACATTACTGTGTGCAGCGGTATTGTTGAAGGTCGATACATTAGGTTGGGGATTATTAGAGACATTATACTGTGAAGGTAAATTGATTTGTGAGGGTGCATTTTGGACAAAATTAGGTCCATTATTCTGTCTTGGGGTATTCATTAATGGTGTTGCATTCAAGGGAACATAATTAGGTTCATTAACACGATTCGACATATTAGATGTTGAAAGAAGTTGCGGATTATAATTAAATCCATTATTAATTGGATGAGGAGTTTGGGGAATAATCATACGAGGGTTTCTATAACCTATTATGGTTAGTGGAGATCTAAAGTTAAGATTATAGCAAATATTAATAAGTCTGTTATATAGCATGTCGACTATATGTATCTGTTCCCAGGCAGTGTCTATCAAAAACTTTTGAATAGGATTATTTAGGGGATTAAGATCATTCCAAATGACGAATATTATGTCAATCACTCCCTCTAAAATGCTCTGGGCCTTTTGTTGATTCTCTAAGCTACTCCACTCTCTTAACTGCCATGGCATCAATTCCAATGTGATTTCTTGCATGGTTTGGACGGCATCCTTCAAAGGGATTTTATCAAAATTCACAGAAGGATTCTCATGTAATTGATATCTGATAAATTCTTCCTCGTACAATATGTTCATTGCTTGATCGTCGATTGTTGGTTCTTGTTTTCTCATAATTTTATGTATCATTTTCATTCTTGGTGTCAAAAATTTAACATCCATTTTATAATTTGGGATTGGACGAGGAAAATTTCCTTGTACTGCCATATTGCTATGTCCTTCAATTTCTGATGCTAGTAAATGTTGATTTGCGTTAGGATTATCAAAACTTATTTCTTGATGTTGTTTTTTTCTTCTTTTTGTCGTCGGTAAGGCTGATGGAGTGTTTAATATTAGGTTCTCACCAGCTGCCAACCTATCAGTATATTGCTTTCTTGTTAATCGGTTGCTCATTCGTCTTTTATGACGTCTATTTCCTCTTACCTTCACTCGGTAAGATTCTGATTCACTGTCGCTTGAGCAATCTGTAAGATCAACACAAGATCTCTTTAATGGGTTTGTTACTAACCTCTCTGAAGTTTGATCTAAATTTTCAAGAAGATTCCTCGTTCGGCGCCAGTCTTTTTGTAGCAGTTTAGGTTCGAAAACTCCTTGATTTGTCTGCGATTGATAGCTATGGAATGAAACTTCATTAAATGGGTCGATTATTTGTGTTACAGGCACTGTGTATGGACGAAATTGTCCTATAGAATTATCGAATGCTCTATAAATTGTTATAGCGTTCGAGAATATTGGATTCCAGCCTTGCTTTCGTCCACAATCAAGCTCTATGAGCTGCAACTCTCGCCAGAAAATGCTTGATGCTGATAGATCAATCATAAACTCTTGCTGTTCTAAGCGACCACGTGTGAGGTGGTTCAAAATACTATTTTTATCACTAAATACTTAAATATGTATTGAAACTCGAATTTAATTGAGTTTTAATGAGCTTTATGTATATATTAATGTCTAGATATTAAGTTTTTAATGTTTTTAAATGATATATTTTATTTATTTATTAGAAAAACGAATCTTTTTATTTTTGATATGACAATATAAGTGTCCCTTTATTCTTTCTGTCCGTCTGTCTCTACCTCCGTCACCCATGGCTATAATCATAAAACAAACTTGACAAATTAATGATAACAATTTTCATCATAAACAGATTAATTGCTGTATTCATGAAAAGTTTTTGTAATAATTCTTCTTGTTTAAGCAACTTTAAAGAGATTTGTGGTGTTACTTTTATTATGACATGAAAGCTGATTATGAAATTTTCTTTGAAATTGAGAGAAAAAGTTTTATGAATGAATGGCTGTGAAGTTTATTGATTTATAATGTTTCAAATTAATGGGAAAAAATTAATGAAGAAGAAAAAAACACTTCACAAAATGCGCTTAAATTATTCAATTAATTACAAATTTTAGAAGTAATTTTCTTGTCTTCTACACATTTATATTTATGTCTTCTTATTGTGATGTCTTCTGCTTCCGCTTTTAATTAATATTACACAACTGAAAAGAATTAATTCGCATTTTACGTCACACTTAAAATTGATCCCAGATCTGCTGCATCTTTTTCTAGACTTATCAAACGCCAGGGATGCAGAACTGATCAAAATAATTAATTTATTAGTACAGCATCTTTGATATCCTGTCAACTACACAAATATAAATTCCTGACGTGTTGCACTATGAGGACCGACCTGTAAATCCCCCCACCATCAAGCCTTAACAACAATCTCGTCGTATCCAAACTATCACAAATTAAAAAGAAGCATCAAAAAAGCAGAAATTTTCTAAATTCGAAAGAAAACTTTAAAATAATGAACTTCCTCCGATCCTTTTAATGAGCTAATTAGAAATAATTTAACAAGAATCTATCGTCAATGAAAAACTAAACAATAAGAAGCTCTAATGAGAATAGCAACAGAGCAAAATAAAATTATTCAATAAATTATACTGAAAATAATTTAAATAAAATTTCAAAAGGTGATTAAGTGTGATTTATGGCAATGATATTGAAGGAGCATGAAGCATTAGCGTTCAAAAAAAAGTATTTTTTTTATCACACAACGCACGTGCTTTACTCTTAACACGAAATGCTGTAAAATGTTTTATTAAGTGAAGAATAAAATAAAAAATTCTATTTGCGTAGATGAATGTGTTGTACATGGGAAATGATGTTGACATTACTGTTGATACTTTTCCGTGTTTTGTTATTTTTGCTCCGACAATAAATGTAGTTAACAATTTTTTTATTGTGATGTGAGCTTTTAGATTAAGTTGAGAGGATTAACAGGGAATGTGTTAAACTTTTTTAATGAGAATCGCTTTAAATTTTAAAATTTTTCATGCTTGTTTGTTTTACTTGCTGTGAATTTGGATAGCTGAGGATCAACTTCAATTAGGTTTTGAAAATTGTTGGAAATTTTAGCACAATACGTTTCAAATAGGCGTAGAGGTTCCCTTAAGGAAGTTTCTCAGATGAGTTAATACGGCTTTAAAGACGGTACAATAGATTCTATCATCGATCAGGATCGCTGTGCCTCCAGCTTGTCGCAATGTGTAGTAACACATCGCTTAACTGGAACCCTCTCACATTATTATTATAAGACTTTAAAGGCAATTAATCATTTAAGTTGAAATTTTTATTTTTCTAAATTAAAGCTCAAAATCATACACCTACATAATAAAACATAACAATGAGTCAAAACTCATTACAAGCATCTCATTTTACTTTTTAAAAAATAAACATTCTAAATTATTTTGACACAAAATTTCCTCTAATTTCCTTCACAACTTCCACATTTTATATTCGCTTTCATTAAAAATCATTTAAGAAAAATTGCTCTTCAAGCCAAACTCCCTAGCTACAGCAAAATAATATTGTGTAAAGAAATAAAGGAAGCTAAAATTAGAAATTATTGCACTTTAAGAAGAAAACACACAACAGCTTCAATGTAAATTGTTTACATGCTTGTGAAAGAAAAAAGAAAAAAATATCAATGAAATTTCATCCCTGGCAATTAATTTGAATGGATGTTTATGATTTGGATATCTGGATGGAATTTGATCGTTTTGTTGTTGAATAAATTTATTTTGAGAATTTTTTCATACTTAAATTAAAGGCGTACACATTCGAGATTATTGGGATTGATTCCAGAAAATCCCAAAAATTCCCAAAAGTCCCAAAAAATCCCATCTTTTTTTTTCGAGTGTATACGCCTTGCTTAAATTTGAATTTTGTTTATGTAAACAATTTTAATTCATGTAGGCATAGTTGTCAATTTAGCTTATGCCCTTAACTCCCTCTGATTGACACTGACCAGATTTTCAACTCGTTTTCTTCATATCCCATGCTTTAGCTTAACCCCTCTAATCTATGAAAGGTTTTTTTTCCAAAAAATCTCTAAAATTTAACCCAAAAGTCACCACAAGAGTCACAAACCAACGCTCATTTCAACAAATTTCTTTCCATTTCCTCTTCGTAATAGAAAATTACAATTTTAATGGAGCCTACGCAATTTGCTCACATAAAATATTGTTTATTCTTCTTCCTTATATTGTACATTGTAATAGATTTATTTAACAGCTCTACACAAATAATTAAAAGCAACAAACATTCGCTCTCAATAAAATGAAAATACATTTCTTACAATAAATCACGCTATGTAATTTGAGTGAAGAAGAATGGCAACTGTTTGTGCTGAATGGGAATTTTATTTTGAAAATATAAATTGTTTTGAAATTAATGGAATCAATAAAAGCGGGTTGGCCATCGGTGAATCAGTATTGTCACTATACTCAATGCCTGAATTTGCATGAATAATAATTAAAACCTTAAGCAATTGTAAATGAATAGAATTTAAATTAATTCAATATCAAAGCAGTCACCCAAAGTGTAATCATATCCCACAAACCAACCCTCTATAAAGTCATCATTATTAATGTATGAAACATAAAAATTATTTTAATGAAGGCAAATAAAAATTATTTTTCGAAATTGGTGCGAGAAATAAAATTATATATTTCAGTAATAATCATCAACAGCAAATGAAGCTCATAATAACCACACACAACAAGTCCCTATCATATACACATGGTTGGAGGTTTTCATACTATGTAACACATTTGAAAGAAGACCGCAAAAAAAATTGTAATTTTAATGGAAAAGTTTTTTTTTTTTATCAACCTAGAGAATGATTTTATTTTAATGGAAAGTTGGTTTGTTATTGGATGTGTTTTTTTGGGGCGGTTGGACTTGTGTGATTTTTGGATCAAAGCATTTATGTTATAATGAATAGAAAGTTTATGCATACCCGATCGGCACACATTGGCACAAGGTTGGCGATTGAAGTCTTACACTACAGTGATGCATATTTGATGCTTTGGTACTGATTGATTCAATTGTGCTAAGCCCTTGGCATTAAAGGCCAAAGAATTCATGGAAAGAGTCTGCATTTGGTATTGGAAATTAGCAAGCGGTATCCAGCAATAAAGCAAGCTTCTTGCGGCATCTGAGGGAGATCATGGATCACAATTGATCTGTACGACCAGCGAAGTAAGTAAGTGAGTAAACCACTTGGCTATAATATTTAAAACATATCCCCTACATCTCCAAAGACTTCAATTTTGAGTGTATATATTATGAATTATCTTCTCCTGTGCCCCGAGCGAAAAGCTTTTGTCTGAAAATATCATCACATAAAAGCTCAATTCTGTTGTAAAATGAAATATTAACTTAACATCAAGCATTAACTCCCACACAATGTTCTCACGAATTATGAAGCATAACAAGCCCACACATTGTGTTTAATTTTTATGATCTGAACAATTTTTCAACAAACTCGATGAATTTAACACGAACCTCAAAAAAAACTTTTCAAATTAACAGGAAAAGTCATTTAATGAAATATTTTTCAGTTTTGTGTGAAATCGGAATCTACCAACTCATTAAATATTTTGGTTAATCTCCTGCTACATTGTTTCAATAATAAGGAAGATTATCATTTTTAATGATAGCTCGTAGGATTAACTTTTTTAATAGGAAGTAAAATAATAAAATACTGAGGAACTCGCTCTGGAGATTTACGTTGTTTTATAACCAGGAAACCAGGAAAGGATGAACATTATCTGTAATCTTCTATGTTTTATGATACATCAAGCTTACCTAAGCTTTTCCAAAATGGAACATGTACAATTTAAGCTTTCAGCAACTTTCTCTTAAATAAGTCCTCGAATTAATGACGACGAAGCTAGTCATCCTATAAATAGACATTATAGATGCATGAAAAATCTGAAAAAATTATAAACTGTGAGTTTGTCCTCATGTAATAACTACTTAACCATATGTGTGGTTGCATCATGATTTTATTACATGAAAATATATTGTTCATAAACATCAGCATACAGCACAAACTAAAGTCCCTCCTCCTTCACCACAAAATTAAATTAAAATTTTATCAGGAATTATTAAACTAATTATAATTGTACAATTAGGTTTATATTCAAGAAATAATAAGAACAATTAAGCACTTAACATACCTTCAAATTATTTCAATCATCTACTATGGCTCTCTGTGTAGACTCAGAAATCCATTAAAAGGTATAATTATTATGTATTCATGTTTCTGACATTGTAATTAAAACATTAAACAAAATGATAAAAAATTTTAATGTTGCTGTAAAGGAAGTGAAAGAGGAACTTTTAAGCTGGAAAGTTTTACTTCTTGGAATGGAATCTGGCAATGTTTTTATGGAAATTAGAAAAGAGGTCTGAAATACTTGAGACGGAGCATCCGATATCAAAACTCAAGGTTGACTTTACAGCTAGATCAAATGTGATTCTGAATGTTTCAACTTCGTTCAACTTTAATTTTAGTTAAGTCTGTAAATTTATGATTAAGGTCTATGTGATCGAGTCACTAGACAACAGGCCAAAATTTTGTAATTATCTCTAGCATGAGAACGTCGGTTTGAATCCTACAAGAATCTCTAATTTCGAATAGTTTAGGCCACAATCCAATTCGTTCAGCAAATAAGTATTCCATCCTGAATAAATGAGAAATGAATCCTGTCTGTTATATCACAACATAAAAGCACAAGTCAGTCCAACGTGCAAAAATTCTATAAATTCGCCTTCACTTGTTTCATCACACATCAATGTGTTAAGTACATGTTTCCATTCAATTCAAAAGCTTTCTTTCTAAAGCTTTTAAAAATTTAAAAAAATAAAATTTTCTATGCTGTTAACATCCTCATCCATAGCGAACAAATTGACTTACACGAAGCAATTACTGTCTCATAAAATATGCACAATTGACCTCGTGTTGTATTTTGTTCTGGTATCTTTTTGCCAATGAATGTTTTTTGTCCATTCCTTTTTAAATAAAACTTTTGCCAATTTAAAAAAAAGTATACTTTTTTTTGAAATGAGATTCAATTCCGACCGCTGTGAGAATTCGCTTGCCACAGAAAAAAAAAACCATTTTTTTCATGCTCACATAAAACGATTTTCATTATTTTTATTGTTGTTATTATTTCGAAGGGTTAGTAAGAGACATGGACATGAGAGCATATACGAAATACTATAACTTTGATCATTTTACATCAACAGCATGAAGCAGCGATGCTGGATGGAAGATGAAATTTCCATTTTTCGTTCAAGCTGTGTTAATGACATCTGATGCTATATGCTGAAATAATTGCTGAAAGGGTTTTCTCTCATTTCACTCAAAAAAAAACTGACCAATTTTTTTGTAAAAGATTTCTCTAGTCATCATCGTCATCAGCACCGTTTGGTCACTTCCTGATGTTCTTTCTTTTTACATTTACAAGCAGACACGAGTGTGTGTGTTCTCATGTGGAGAATTTTTCTTCATATTTTTTGGGGGGGTTTTCATTGCTAATGGGTAAAAGTTTCAATGAGTTTCATTCTTTTATTGCTGTAGAAAGCGTGAAAGCTGGGAAATAAATTTGAAAGACATTCATGTGGAAATCATTAAAATTAAAATGAATATTTACATAAAAGGACGATTGGTGGTTCAAGCTATGAACATTTTGAGTTTTGAATTAAGAGCTCCTTTGTATAATGTTCATTCATGATTGCAGGGATAGTGGATATGAGTGCTTGAACCTAGCTTCATACCTAATAATGTAAGAGTATTCTAGCCAAGCGATGTTTTACTACACGCTGCGACAAGCTGAAGGCACTCCGATCCTGATCGATGATAGAATCTATTGAACCGTATGATATTCGGTACAGCTTCATACCTAGAAAGACGAACTTAGTAAATTCGAATTTATTCCATCAGTCGATACCAACAAAACCGAATTTCATCGAACCTCAAGTTTTCATCTCCATATTATTATTATTCTCCATATTATTATTATTCATGACTCTCAATCATATATCAAGTCTATTCCATAAAGCAAATTGAAATGAATCCAGCAAGCATTCAAACACACACAAAGCAACGTGATGGGCTCTTAAATCTAAAAAGGAAATAGAAGAAGCACACTTAAATTGAAATTCGAACATGGCCATTTAATAACATCTTTCGATGATTTTGCTCAATTTTTCATTTACACATCATTGAGCATTTCAGTATAACATTAAAATGAAGGAAAGAAAGGAAATTGTCGATGACAGAATGAAGTGAATTTAACTACATTTTTTTTTGGATGATTATTATTGGCTGTATTCTCCTGTTCATTCTCACTTCTCTTTTCACATTTGAATTGAGCCTGTTTATGAAAAAGAATCTCTTGCAAGCTGAAATGTTGATTGATGGATGAAAAGAAAATCATTTACGCTTCAATTCATTTCAATCACTAAAGTGCACTTGAGAAAATTAAGTGAGAGAGGAACTGATGTGAATGTGATACGACTAATGAATGAAGTGGAATTTAAATTAATTTTTCGAGCTTTTGTGACATGAAAAAGGCATTGAAAATTTGAGATTTTTTTTTTGTGATTTTTATCGCTTTGTGTATGACAGTGTTGCTTACTCAGATACATTACAACCACATCTATAGTCTTACTAAGTTGGAATTAATTTGTTGCGCTATAAGTTGAGTTTTGTAAAGTTTGACTTTATCCAGCTGAGGCAATCAGACACTCTAAAATGGCTCTAGTTCATCTAAGCCAGTGCTGTCCAAACTGTGTGCTGTGAAACTTCATTGTAATTAATCGTTGCCCAATTCTTGGTTCAACTAGCTAGAATCTTAACATCCTTTATAATTCTCATAATTTCTATAAAAATATTTTTTTTTCACACTTCCTCAATATTTCTTTCTCAAATGTTTATTTGATTATGCAGCACTAGACGTCCTAAAACAACTTTGTGAGAAATTCTTTTTGTGCTTCCACTTCCACTTCATTGACGATAAAAGAGAATTTCCCAAAAAATGACAGCAATTTTTTTTTTTTATTTTTATTGATCGGCAAAAGAGAAATTTTAATCTGAGTTGAATTTGTTTATTTTCATTTTATTTCGGGCATGCAAAAAGGCATGAATAATTTCTAGTCTGTATGTTTTGATAAGTTATCAAAATATTAGAGAGACACATTTTATTGAATATTTGTATGAAAATAAATTGAATTAAGTCATATTTCTATGAATTTTATGAAAAAGTCCTCAAATGGAATTTGTAAGCATGCAGATGCTAAAGTCAGGCTTGTCAATTCTCAATAAAAATTTATTTTGTTAATCCTCTTTTCTATTTCATGAGATTATTTTATTGAAAACTTTTGTAAATCAATTTAGTTTTGATAACATTAATATTAAGATCATGGACATAAAACTGAATGCTGATACCAAAGATAATATTTTGGATCCTGACTACTTTATAAAAAATAGCTACGCAATTATTGAAGATTTTTTAAAAAATTCTTAAATGAAATTTCATTGACGGAAAAAAAAGAAAAACTTTATCAGAAATTTTCATTTTTCCGCATTCTATCCTTGACTTAAAAAGGAAGAGGATGGAATGTTTCTTTTTATTGAAAAGAAACAATTCCTTTTGTTAAATAAAATGCAAACTTTTTTCCTCTCGATAGGAATTTTTGGAAGCAAAAAAACAGTTTCTTTTTCATTTCGAGTTCCGTAAAAATAATAAATTAATATCCCTGCTTTACGCTACTATATTTCATATTCTCTTCCTCTATGCTTTGCTCATTTTTTGTGTGGAATGTACTTTTATCTCAGCACATTTGTAGCACTAATTGCAATTTTATTATTCTCGTATTGCTTAATCTAATTCGAAAGAGAAGCTAGCTTGATATTCTTTTGATTTATTTTGTTACGGAATATCTGAATGAACCCTTTTACAGTACTTCTTAAACTATGGTTCACGACACATTAATGAAAGATCTCCAAGGTCTGAACTCTATTCGATGAGATTCGAACCCACGACCTCAAAAGAGGTGATCTCTGACCACTCGAACAGAGATCCCTGCCACTCGACCACCAAGGTACTTATCTCACTTTGGCTAACCGTCAACCACATATAACCAGTTCAACGGGAGTCCTATGCTAAGGCCTATCTACTACAGATCTGCTCTTCGAGCCATATCCACATAAACAACTTTAGCTTCTTAATTTCAACTAATCAAACAGCTTAGCTAATAGTAGCTGACTTACAAAATCATGGCCTCTTTTAGAGTAAAACTATGATTGTAGCTATTAAACCTGCTTCAGAACTTGACTAGCCAAAATATAAATCAAAGCGCTTTATGCCCCCCAAAAAACAAATAATTTAAAGGAAGAGCTTTCCAACTAGCTTTCATATAGCAATCTAATAATAAGAAAGTAATTAAAAACATTGTGCTATTGTAAAAACAATTTTTATTACATTTATTTTTTCTATCATTGTTATTTTCCCATTTTCCCTCTCTCATTCTATGTAATTTTCCTCGCTTTTTCATCCTTTTTTTTTGTGCCGTTCTCTGTGCTACCCTCTTCACTATTCGAATGAATGAGTTGTGCTTTTTTTTATTGCATGATTTTCCACCATTCATTCGATTACTATTACTTTTGTTGGATTGCTCTGTTATAAAGTTATACACAAAAGAAGAAGAACTCTTTAATTGTTGGAAAAGAAAATGAAAAAGGTAAGAATGGAAAAAAGGAGGATTTTCCTTTACTTTTATTTATTTGAATGGATGAAAAATGAGACGCGCCTTTTTTTCGCCAACGTCAAACACATTAAATAATGATAAACATACAAAAGGTTCTTTCCACCTTTTATTTTTTATTTCAAGTGCTTATTGATGTTGATAGTAATAGCGTTGTTTAGTTGATGTTCTGTGCTGTTGTCTGCTGTTAGTGGCGAGATGAGTTAGGTTACAACACCTCCTCTGAAACTCTTGCAAACTTAATCTTTAACTTAGAATATGATATTCATTCTTGATGATTGCTCCACTATGAAGCGTAGGGCGTCCACAAAGCATTTGAAACGCACTCGATTCTGGACCAAAGCTGCTTTTTCCTGCAGCTTCTTGTTATTTATTCTTAGTATTCTTATAAATCCCTTAAAAACAGCCCCAACTCCTCCTCATACAGACTAATTAATTCAAATTAAATTCAAAAGCTTCTACTCCCCAACAAGCCTTAACATTCCATACTTCATACTCATTTTTGAATGATATCGTTAAAGCTAATGAAGTACTTTGCATCAATTAACATGAAAAGACACTGAAGATAACAGAAACGTTTTGAATATTCTGTCAATATTTTTTTAATATTCCCTAAGAGCTTTTTCATGTTCAAATTGCTGCAAACACTCCGTGGTCATCCTTTCAAAAAGCGAAATGATTATCTGGTGTATAGACATAATACTCAATGTTTATGTGACAAATTTTCTTCACTGTACACACCTTACAACTTTCATTATCTGACATCTATTCATGAAAGAATTTTTTTCCCCCGCTTCTTATGTTATCTTAATGAAATCTCGGTACTTTATAGATTTTTATCTTCAATTGAATCTTGTTGCTCACAAGGCAGTCTACTACTCATACATTATAATAAATATTGACATAAAAATTCCTTTTCCTTCCTTCCAATAAAAAAAAAGGCAGGGGGATGTGATGCTTGAAGGAAAATAATTGATATTTTTTTCATATTTTCAAGTTTTTTTAAAAGCAAGTAAGCATGAACTGCTAGCTGTTAAGTTCAAGGAAGATCCATGAGTTCACTAGTGTGTGGCCTATGATGAAAAAGTCTTATTACTCTAATGTTGACGCATTGAAATGTTTGCCACCCGGCAGCTGGGTTGATAGTATAATTAGAACCAAGCGATAGCTGCTTGGAAGCAACTTTTAACCGGATGCCAAGTGGTTGCCACCTGGCTTAGATGTTGCTTGGTTCTAGTTATACTATCAACCCAGCTGCCGGGTGGCAAACATTTCAATAAATACAATAAGTGTGTCGTTTGGGAAGCTCACCCTTTGCCCTGATAAGCCCAGAGCTATAACAAGACAAGATCCCATGATAGTTTAACTAGTTTGAATTTATTCTAACCACACAACTCGACCCCACCAAATCCAAGCTAATGATATGATCTAAATCCTTGAATTTCTGAAAAACCTTTCAACGCACGACTTTCCCCCTCAACTTTTTTGCTCTCAGGCACAAATAAATGTGACATCGAAAGAAATTTCCTTTTTTGTTGTTAAATCTAATAATCTCAAACATTCCGGATATACAAAATGTTTTACACATCCTCGGTTTATAAAGTTACAAACTTTACAACTTTAATATTAAGTTTATGAATTTTATGGTGTATATTGTAATTGTATATGCTTCTGGCATTTTACAGCATATAAAGTTGTATGTAATACGACTCATTCAATGACATTCAATGTTTTAAATTCTTTAACAGCGTGTAGAGTGAATAAACTACATTGAGGATCTGTGGACGGTAAGCAAAAGAAGAAGAAGGAATGTTGATAAATTGAATTAATTAAATGACGATACGGTTCATTAATTTTTTGTTTCCATCCAACATAAAATGGAAACTTTCACCTCACTCAACTCTGTTGGGATCCTTACCGATTGAAATGTTTCAAGATTGACATTGAAGGTCTTGAAAATTCTCATTGTGATGGGTTGCTGTAGATTTTCATTAAAAATTAGCATCATTTTCTTATATTTATGATCCGATGTCGTCCAATCGTTTGCGTATAAATCGACAATAAATTTTTCACTACTTGACTGAATTTGTTGAGCAAAGTAGCAAGCTCGAAACACTTGAGCTGTCAGGATAAATTCACGGCCTCCGTAATGAATGAATATTGCGAGATTCCGAGAATCCGAGATACTCTTTATAATAAGAATTAATTATCTAGTTTGACTTAATGTAAATTTTATTAAGAAGTCGTTCACTTATGACTTAAAATTTTAGATCCCTCAACTTTAAATGATGGTCATCATAAGCAGTCATAAGTGAACAAACAGAAATAAATGATAAAACTTACTTTGGTAGACAGCAAGAACGCAATCGAGCATAACATTGTCATCCCAAAGAATCCAAAAGCAGCGAATGTTGTATGCACAATGTTTTCATTTTTTTCCATCAATCTAAGAACATTAAAATTAGTTTTTCAAGAAATTGTCCTTAAATCATCTAGTCGAGTCAGCTATTTTAAGTGATATCAACTTTAACTTAATCCCAAGTCAACTGAATCTTATTAAATCCATAACCAACCTCATTATATTCCAGTGAATTTTAACACAACGAACCAGCTCTTCCTTGTTTGTAGCTTTAAGATTCCGAAGATTGTGTCCAAAATACTCGATGTAAGTATGAAACATGATGAGCAAATTGCCAAAAAGTTCAACATTGAAGACCATCATGTAAATTGTATAAAATGAGCTTATCATTTGAAAGATCCAGGATATATAAAATATATCAGGCTTATTTAACACCAACATTGGAATGGAAACCTTCCCGACAACTAAAGGTTCAATAATGGTTCCAGCTCCAATAATAATGTAACTTATATGGAATGTAAAATTAAACATTCGATTGCACTTCCTCAAACCATTCTCAGCAAAGTCATTCATCACCTCAGGATCGTCATTCATGACTTGATTTAAATCATCAATAAAATCTCGAATTGCATTTTTCTTTATGTTGAAGTTGATGTTGCAAGACAATGAGATGAGATGAAGTGAACCATAAATCGTGCATCGTGTAAATTCCTCAATATTGCTTGATTTGAACAGTGATAAAATAATGAGAATGCAGCATGACAGATTTAGTACCAAAAATGCAATAATACTGAATGTACGATGCCTCACTGTAACGTCCGTCCACATTCCATAGTACTTGAAATATTTGAAAATTGTTCGAAATGGATCTCGCTGAAGTAGTTCAACCATTTTCAATGTAAATTTTCCACTCTTTCCTGTTGAATGAATCATGAGTAAGGAAAAAAAAAATTGTTTTAGTTGAAGAACGGGAAATTTTAATTAAAATTTTTCAGCAATTACTTACTTCTTTCACTCTACTGCTTAAGTATTTCCTCTTTTCACTTCGCTTTCTGCTGCAGTTTGTTTTGTAATGTGCAAAGAAAAAGATTACTCAATTAGAAGAGAAACTACTTAAGATTGTTCAAGAGCTTAAGTGTAATTGAAGTATGATGTAAAGAAAACGAAGACGATGAAGGAAAATGTAATGAATAACTTAAGATTATTTTATAGTTATCAAGATTTGTCAGATTTATTTTTTTATTGCTGACATTTTAAGATGTGATTGGATGGAGGAAGTAAAGGATAAGTGACATGATTTCTTAATGATTAAATTGAATTTTATGATATTATGTTTTAAATTTGTCAATTTCATGATTTTTTATTTTAAATTTGTCATTTTAAGGGCAATTCTAAGTACAAAAATATTACTTCAAGGTACCAGACCTGTTTTAAGTTTTGGGGGGGTATGAGGGGTTTTATTTTGGACGTAGCATGGACAAGGTGACTTATTTTCTCCAAAAACTGAAAACTTAAACAAGCTTCCTATCAAGATTAGCTCTACACAACAACCCCTCCGGCTGCATGCTTAAAATACTCTTGAAAGTCTATTCTGGTACTAACATAATGAATTATTGATTCAGCATATGAACTGAAGAATGAGAACTCTATTATAATTTAAACTGGGGAGACATAATCTTGAATAGCACAAATTGGTTAATCGAATAGAAATCCGGCAAGCCAACGTGACTCTGGTATGGTACTGGACTCAAATCTAATGTAGCACAATGCCAGAGTGAAGCTTGAAGCCGGATTTCTATTCGGCTTCCCGACTTGTGCTATCCGAGAATGGCTCTTTGCATCAAAAAAATTGCAAATTTACATATCACTCGAGTCACAGATTCCAATTAAGATCTAGCAATTGATATATTAAGGAAAGACCATCCAGACATCGCAAAGAAAGCGATCTTCTGGAATGTCTAAGAAAATAGGACTAGGGGCCAACGGAGAATTACTTGGCGTACAACTGTTGAACGGTAGGCAGGAAATAGCAGCTTTGGACCAGAATCGAGTGAGATTCAAATGCTATGTGGACGCCCTACGCTTCATAGTGGAGCAATAGGAACACATCATCATCATCATTAATTGATATTGAAAATCAAATTGATCAAAATAATAACTTCTGAACCTCAAATCTCAACAATTGAGCCCACATTTCTAGTAAAAATCATTGAAAATGCTTCAATATTCCACAAAATAAATTGTACTTCCATAAAATAAATTTCTCTTCCCATCACTAAGTGATTCAACCATAAATAAGTAATTCATCATTGGAAGTAATCTTCAACTTTAAATAAATGCTTCATAATTTACATTTGTGTATGTTTCAAGGAAACATTCCATCTACACATTGAATATATTGCAGTATTACATAAAAGCAATAAATCTAACAGCCAATTCATTTTCATTTCACTTCAGACATCAGCTTATTGCAAATGTCTTCCTTCCATGTAGTCAATCATCATTCGTAATGTGAGTATGTATGTATGCAAATAAAGCATACCTAAATAACCCTGAGTTGAGGTTATAAAAAAATTATGATTGTGCGTTTCTAAATTTAAACATTTAAAAAAAATGTATGCCTGTTGTTTTCACCTGCCTTGCCAAGGTAGCAGGAAACATTTCAACTGTTAACACAATGTTTGTGAGCATTATCATGATGATACGTTTATGCTTTATGTCATAATTTACGTTTTTTAGCGCATTTTTGAAACTTGTTTCAAAAAGGTAGCTTAATAACGCACTTTGGTCGGCTGGTCGGCTGGTCGGCTGGCTGGTCGGCTGCTAAGAAAAACTTTTAATCTAGACATCGTAGAGAGTTCTAGTTTTTTGCATTAGTTCCGTTATATCGAGTTATTGGCCCGCCGGACATTTAAAAATCTTAAAACAGTGTATTTATGCTATAATTAATGAATTTTTGTTTTGTTTTCAGTGTAAACTGCTCAAATTTTATTTTACCTCTATAATTTCAATATTACCTCTATAATTTCAAAAAATTTCTAGCCGTTGTAAAATTTGAATTTCAAAAAACCGTTAAATGATAAACTTTTTTTGTATGGAAATTCATTGGAACAAATTATTTAATTATACTATAATTATTATTTCGTAGTGCAACTTATAGCGGGAAAATTTCAAACTATTTATTGACCGTTAGAAAATTTGAATTACAAAAAAATGTTAAATGATAAACCCTTTCTGTATGAAAATTCATTGCAACAAATTATTTAATTATACTATAATTAATTTTTTCGTAGTGCAACTTATAGCGGGAAAATTTCAAATTATTATTATATTGACCGTTAGAAAATTTGAATTACAAGAAACCGTTAAATGATAAACTCTTTCTGTATGGAAATTCATTGCAACAAATTGTTTAATTATACTATAATTAATTTTTTCGTAGTGCAACTTTTAACGGCAAAATTTCAAATTATTTACTGACCGTTAGAAAATTTGAATTACAAAAAATCGTTAAATGATAAATCCTTTCTGTATGGAAATTCATTGCAACAAATTATTTAATTATACTATAATTAATTTTTTCGTAGTGCAACTTATAGCGGGAAAATTTCAAATTATTTATTGACCGTTAGAAAATTTGAATTACAAAAAACCGTTAAATGATAAACCCTTTCTGTATGGAAATTCATTGCAACAAATTGTTTAATTATACTATAATTAATTTTTTCGTAGTGCAACTTTTAACGGCAAAATTTCAAATTATTTACTGACCGTTAGAAAATTTGAATTACAAAAAATCGTTAAATGATAAATCCTTTCTGTATGGAAATTCATTGCAACAAATTATTTAATTATACTATAATTAATTTTTTCGTAGTGCAACTTATAGCGGGAAAATTTCAAATTATTTACTGACCGTTAGAAAATTTGAATTACAAAAAATCGTTAAATGATAAATCCTTTCTGTATGGAAATTCATTGCAACAAATTATTTAATTATACTATAATTAATTTTTTCGTAGTGCAACTTATAGCGGGAAAATTTCAAATTATTTACTGACCGTTAGAAAATTTGAATTAAAAAAAACCGTTAAATGATAAATCCTTTCTGTATGGAAATTCATTGCAACAAATTATTTAATTATACTATAATTAATTTTTTCGTAGTGCAACTTATAGCGGGAAAATTTCAAATTATTTATTGACCTTTAGAAAATTTGAATTACAAAAAAACCGTTAAATGATAAACCCTTTCTGTATGGAAATTTATTGCAACAAATTGTTTAATTATACTATAATTAATATTTTCGTAGTGCAACTTTTAACGGCAAAATTTCAAATTATTTATTGACCGTTAAATAATAATCCTTTCTATATAAGCATTCATTGTAACTTTTTGTTAATTACACTAAAATTAATGATCTTCTAATCTTCTCATGATCTGTAAATGAACGCAAAATAATTACATAATCAAATACTGATCGCTAACACAAAAATGCGCTTAAGTCCCTCGATCAATAACACGAGGACTTCTGTAATTTTTTTTATATTCACAATGCACGCACATAAACAGTTCCTGCTGTATTTTTTTACTGTGATACTGTATGATGATTGGCATCAGAACATTTCATGCCCTACATGAACACACACACAATTTTTTTCTTATATAGCATTTATATAAAGCCATGTAGAACATGCTGTTTTCAGATGAAAAAACATAATTTTCCCTTTGTGTAATGTAATGTGAAGAACCACGCTCTTTAGTGTTATTCGGAATAATTTTTAATACCTCGAAGCCAAAGCTTGTTACGTTTTACAGGAATATGTGATGTGGTACTGTTAAGTCGTGAAGGAAACCCTTTCATTCCTACCCTTTGTTAAGAATCAAAACTTAGTGCTCTCATAAGAATTGAGTTCTCCTGCCACTAAGTCATTTACACTGGGATATTCGCTTATGTATGACTCAATCTTTTATTTGTCAGTCTCCACAACAAATTAAATACTTACGTTTCTGACGAAATGGACTTAAATGAGCGATTTCTTGAAATATTCTAACCAACTTCCAATTTTTATAAAATAATTTCATCAAAAAATAACAGAATAAATATGAATAATTAATAAACCACACATTCGAAAAGTTTTAAAGGTTTCACATCTGCTGTCTTATCTATTATTATTTTTAATGAAATAGTAGAAACAAAATTTAAAGTTCAAGAGATCGATGAAAATTTCATTTAAATGGAAAGTCGCCTGAATTTTAAATAATTCATTGCTAGTTTCTATTTATTTTCACACCATTAAATTTTAAAACTCTATATTTTGTGAAGAAAAGTTTTCTACAGAACTAGGGCAATTAAGTGTAACATATATAAAAAGTTTTCTATAGATAATGGATATTTATATCACATTTAAAGCAGAAAACGTTAATTCGATTTGGAAAAAGTTTCTTTTTTGTAGTTACACATAAATGAGAAATTTTGAGATTGGAAGTTTTAAGGGGATTTTTAGGATAACGATGTGTAGTGACGCATTAATGAATAAACCTCAAAGGCAAGCTTGAGAAAATGACTTTTTAATTTTTTATTTTGGTGTTTTCTTCGTGGTTGGTAATTCAAAATTCTCTGAAATATTCCCATTCAAGTTGTGTCTACAATACTTCAGAATGGACTTTTTGGATAAAGATTAAATAGAAAGAAATTAAAGAATTGAAGCTGTGTGATTATTAAATTTGAATAAGTGACCAACTTGCTGTACTTTGATTCATTTAAATCTTGAAACTTGATTAAAAATCTAATGAACCAGCTGATTCTTAACACAATTATTGAGAAGCCCGGGTAGCACAAGTTTGGGGTGAATTATTCATTTGACGAGTCATAAAGTCATCCCCGTGT